AAAAACAGTTCAGTAATAGCAATCTTGTTAAGCCTCCAAAGGAATTCATAAATTTCATTTCAAACCTTGAAAAAATATTCACCGATCACTTTGATTGGACTTGCTATATGATTGGGTTTTCTCAAATTTTATTTGAAAAGATGGTTGAGGTAGAGCCATATATTTGCTGCGAAAATTGTAATCCAGATATTATAAAGTCTTTGTTTATAAGAATTAGAACTTATTTTTTGATTAACTGCTTTAATAAAGAGGCAAAGCAATCTTACTTTAAAAACATAAAATTTTTGAGTGTAAAATACTGTTAAGGCAAACATATAATAGTGGGATTCACGAAACGTCGCACATGTTTTTTTTTTTTTTGAATACTTAACTTTTTTTTGTTGTTTTTTCAACATATTTTGTGGGCCGTCAGCCGACAGGTGTGCGGACGGTTGTCACTCCTTTGGGGGTGTCTTCCGTCCCCATGCACTGCCGGAAGTGCGGCTACACTCTCCACGCGGGGGCGGCTGGAAACAGGCTATAGCTACGGTCATGTCTCTGGCTATAGTGCTGGCTAGTGGTAGTCGGGCGGGGAGAAGAAAACTCCCGGGAAGAAGAGGCTAGTATTAGGGGACAGTCTGAGGACGGAGATGACTTTGGTCTCCTACCGTCTCTCAGATTGCCCACTGAGCTGCCGTTTCCTCTCAAAAAAATTACCCCAACTCCAAGGTGGAACAGCGTATGCCGATGGATGCGTGGCCAGCGGGGAGCCTGGTCGTTAATATGCGAACTCTGGATACCGGTTTCTCTCCAGTTTCAACTAGACTTACCGTGGGATCGGGATTACCGCGGCGTACTTTTCCCTTTTCCTTTTCACTCGTGGGAACAAAATGAATTCAAATAAAAATAAACAAAATTTAGATGAGCCCGATGATGCTCAGAAATCATCACTCACTGCAGCCTTTGGGCTGCTCTCAACTTCCTCTGACGGAGCCATTGGGCACGTCAAAGGAGGAGCATGCAATGTTTCGTCAGGTGCTGAGTCGGACAGCACGTTGATCCCTGACAGCATGAGCATTTGCTCTGAAAGTTCAGGGCTTACGGAAGTAGGCACAATGCTGCAAAAAGTGAAGCTGGACCCCAAGTCCAGCTTTGTTTACTTCAACTCGAAAGAGCGGAAGATTTTCAGGCGTGCCCTAGGCGAAGGCAAGACTAGGGAGGAAGCCTTAAAAATGGCCAAAACTACGTCAACGACCACTGGGAAGTTGAAACGTATTCGCCCCGAGGAGAAATCACCCAGTGGCAATGTCACGAAAAAACCCAGACCGGCTCACATGGGGCCCGCAAAAACCACCTTTAGCCGGGTGGTAAGTAGCGTAGACTTGGGTTTTGTTCCGGTTGACTCAGTCAACGATTCTTTAACAGTGGAGCAACTGGCACTGCTACAAGAGGCGATAATAGACGTCGCGATTGAGAACTCGAGCGACGACGTAAAGCCCGAGTTCGAAAGTTGTGCCCCTCGAGCTGGGTGGCTTCTCTTCGTCTGCTCGAACGCTCAAACAGCGACGTGGCTAAAATCGAACGTCCAGCTTATCAAGACCAAGTGTGGTCTGGACGTTAACCTTGTGGAAGAAAATGAGTTCCCTCGATCTCACGTAATCCGAGGATATTTCCCCCAGAGTTTCCAGCTCAGTAACGAGAAGATTCTGAACACCATCACTGCTCAGAATCGCATTTCGACCGCTGGCTGGAAGATATCGCACAGGCTGACAAGTGGTCAGTTTGTACATTTGGTACTGCTCATTGACCACGTATCAATGACGAGACTCGCTGCGGTGAATGGTCGGATAGCCTACAGATTCGGCCACATAAAATTACATCTTAGGGGCACTTCGCCTACGAAGAAGCCGCAGAGTGTTGAGACGGAGGCGGGGAAACCTACAGATGCCTCGACAGAAATCGACCTGTACTCTTGCTCATCCTCCAGCAAGGCCACTGGGCAGGCTGAGAGCTGGCACGAGGCCATTCCAGTCTCGAAAGCTGCCGAAGTGATGGCGGTGAAACCGACTCCGCCACAACTTCCATTAAAGGAGATGGTTGACCCCCCCTTGGGCCAGGGCGAACATCCTACCCGTAGTGACAACCGGGCAACTGTGCAGGCTGGGACTGCGTCGTCGGTGGTTGCATCGGCTTCAGAGAGGGATCAACAACGTCTCCCAACGTCCCAACGGAAGAAATGAGAAACGCATTTCATCTACTTTTTTTTAGTCCCTTTTTTTAACATATAAAATTAAAAGCTGTCACCGTGGGTGAGTTATGTATATGTATTATAATTTAAATTCCGTGACTACTTCGAAGTTGTACATATGTATATGTATGTTTATTAATATATTTTACGTTATTGTTCTTACCCATTGTACCTGAATTTTCAATGGCATCTCATATTTTAATTTTCTACTAGTACAAGTAGTACTGTTTAGACACTGTTCTTCTGATGTATTAATGTGCATGTATATATGTAGAATATTTGCTTTATATGGGTGAAAATAGGCCTCAAGGGGAACCGAACACCCAAAAAAAAGTCGGTAACGCGCCTTTATTGCAACCTCAGCGGTGGTGTGGAAAAGCAATAATAAATTCCCATATTTAAATTTACTTTGAGGCTTTATGTAAAAAAAAAACTAATAAAACGTTTCACTTACCACCAGATTTATATGTACATATATCCCAATACCAATTTTTAAATATTGAATTTTGTATTTATTTATTCATAATATATTTATATTTATATATATGTATATATGTTAATTTAATTAAAAATTTTGCTATGCTAATAAGTAACTTTTTATTGTACTGTTATTTGTTGAATAAAAATAAATAAATAAATGAAACAATTAATTACGAAAGTGGTTGGTTTCTTTATTTTCATTTATGTACATATCCCACATTTGCTGCAAGAGTGTGCAGCTCATCGAATTCAATGAATTTATGAATTTATGAATTGTAAAGTTTTATTATACATACATATTTTAAATTTAGGCCCAAAACGCCGTAATAATAAATAAGTAAATAAATACATATATATAAATGAAATAGGGCGTTTTTAAAAGCTTTTTGAGATAGGGCGTTTTCGAACTGGCTGCCGAGGTTTCCAAAAGTTGAAAAATTTGTGTAAAAAAATTAAGCGATTTTAACGGTATTATAATCACAAGAAAGGTAATCGATTTCCCTTTCTTCACACATATATATATAAACAGTTCCAAAGTATTTATATTAGTTCACAAAAATTCAGTTTTCTTACATCTTTGGAAAATTTGACCGCGATTTTTCAGCATACATATAGATGTTTTCAAAAATTGAAAAATTTCTATAGAAAAAGATAAGCGATTTTAACGGTATTATAATCAAAAGAAAGGTAATCGAATTACCCTTCTTTCGATATATATGTGCAATTAAAAACCGTTTATAGAGGTTCTTAAATACTCAGTTTTCTTACAACTTTGCAAAATTTTATCGGGTTTTTTTCTTTTTTATGTGTTAAAATAAATATGTACATACAATAGAAATAACTATTAAAACAATTTATTAAAAATTTGTTAGTTAAGCGTAAAATATTTGAAAATTAGACTAGAAGTGCCTTTACCACTGATTGCCGGCGTTTGTTGGACATTTTCAAATCCGATTGCAGGATCGCTAAACTCCATTTACATAATATTGCCTGATGAGGTGTCTGCTACTATGGCGATTGCATTCGTTTATCATTTAAATTTTCCGCTAAACATTTGAAAAAAAACCAAGTTTTTTAAGTATATGCAAAATTAAAAAGCCTTAGTAATTAAATAACTACCTGCTACAATATAACCCACAGTGCAGGCTTTCCAGTAACACTCAATGGCATTATCGAACTTCTCCAATTTTTCCATCCAGCATGGTGCTATGCGCAACTAAAAAATTTACATCCAACGAAGCTTCGACAAATGAAATCTAAAAGAAAAATTAACGTATTAAAATAACGAAAAATAAATATGTAATTTATATATTATTAAAATATTTATATAAATACATGTGTATATGTAAAATATATATGTACATACATATAGATGTATATATTTCCATTGCACTTTCTTCTTTTTACCTACATACATAGTATGTACACATGTAGGTAGGTGCAGCTCACTTTGTACAAATGTATTTGCAATTCCCTTTCTTTTTGTGCTTAACTGCATACATATGTATGTATGTACACATTTGTGCAGTTGCAGTTGGAGCGTTCATTTAGTGAAATATTCTTTTGCAATTTTTTCATATACGCCTCACTTTATTCTGTTTGCACACATATCTACACATGTAGGTACCCAGCCAATATGCTGGTTGGTTGGAAAGATGCAACTAGAACTGATGCTAATAATGCAGCGAATGCAAATATTATTCCTGACCAAAATGACTGTTTTCAAAAACGCATCAATTCTTTAGTGCACAAATAAACGAAATTTGTGCGCATTGGAACGCCGCCAAAAGGTGAGAGTCTACTGCACTTTGCACATATTTTGCAGCACACTTTTTGTTCTTTACATACATATGTACCTATTTGCAGCTGGAGCATTCTGCTGCACTTTCTAACATACATATGTATGTATATATTAGCACTGCACTTCTTTTTACCTACATATGTACACATTTAGGTAGTTACAGCTGGACCATTCTACTGCACTTTTTAAATATTCGCACACTTTTAAATTTTATTGTTTATATATATGTGTACACATTAAGGTAGTTGCAGCTACACTTTGTACAAAACTCACCGAACAATGTATTGTCTTCATTCCCCTCGCCAACAAACCATGCTTGCACAATTATTCGTGCGTGTTTTAGGCCAATGGCATTTTCGCACTAAGTTTTTCAGCTACATTCAGCTATGCTTCGGCCACATCTTCAACAGGCAATGCAATGGTAACGGTTACCCAGAGCCATTATAGAATTCCTAAATGAACGTTCTATAAATATCTGAAGTCATAAATAAATGATTTAAAGAATATAGCAAGCTTACCTTCACAATTTTATACGTATACTAGCCAATGCCCACTTGCTTCACGGCGCCTAATAAGAACTTTTGCGTCGGTTAATGCTAAACAAAAACAAAAGAAAAAACAGTCTGTAAAGTCAAAATTTTTAGTAAGTTGAAACCACTAAAGCACGGTATCTTCCTCACACATAGACCGAGAATAGTAACGCTGTGATACTGTATGAAAAACTAATCCCTTTCGGTGACATGAGCTTTGCCGCGGATGGTCTTATTTCCACCTGTGAAATCTCTGCCAAGCGTGCATAATCTTCTTTGATCTTGCAACTACAACATTTTTCCGATGCGTAAGCCAGTAAAAGTCCTCATAAGGAAACTCAAGAGCACAGATGTGCGTTTTCTGTTATAGGAGGGCCAAGAATCCTCGCTGTCCTGCTGGATGAAAAGTTTTCCCGAACATTGGCTAAATGAGTCGTGTCATCCCTTGAATATCGTTCAAATTGAGCAATCGATATACCTACCGTTTTCCTTCCTTGTTAATTCGCCACTTATACAATTCGTGTTAATATTTATTGGTGCCTATTTGTTGTTAAAAAATTTTGTAAACGGATCATGACAAGATGAGGTGGTTGTTTTTGTTTCCAATGCGATGCTCGCAAACCACGCTACAAACGACGAGCTTGCTCGCTGAAAATCAAATTATTTTATTTTTTGCGAGCATGCTCGTGAACCGCCCTACAAGGTACGAACATGCACCGCGAGCCGAGCATGTGCGCGCACATGTTCGTCGTTGTGTAGCCACTGTAAGGTGCGGTTAAACGTGGCAATGCAAGCGCATTTTGCTGTCGAAATGCGAAATGGAAAGTCTACTTTCCCGTGTAAATAGTCAGAAAGTCCTTTTTGCCATAAAAATTGCAAGGTGCAACTGGGATTACGCAAAACGCTTTCGAGAAATAATTTCAACTTGCTGCACTAGGAATTTAAATTTTTGCTGCAAGTGCTGTCAAACCAGTCGTGTGTTGCAGCGTGACGCGTTTTTTGGCGAGTTCGTAAAAATTTTGAAAATGTTGAATAAAATATGAAAAAATGCGTGTAATTAATTAATTCTACTGATATGGAGTGTTTAAGTATTAATGTATTAGGCATTTTTTGACTCTTTGGTGCACATTTTAGTGGGTTTAGTAAATTTTTCAGATCATTTTTTGGAAATTCTTGAGTTTCACAGACCCTTGAAAAGGACTTGCACTTGCCACGTCTAATAGCTACTTTACTTCCACTATATCCAGCGAGTAACTATTCCCCTTTTCATATCGGTTGGTATTCGGATTTGTCATAACATAATTCTCATTTTGTAGCGCTCTAGAGCATACTTTGCAACACTGTTGCTATAAGCTAGGGATGGGCACCGTTTTCAAAAAATCGGTTTTTTGATTAATTACGGTTTTTCATTCAGGTTTTAAACCGTTTAAAAAAACTGGATTAAAAACCTGATCTTTTCGGTTTACCGAAAAAAACCGAATTATAAAAACACTGAAAAAATCAAAATGGAGTTCCAACGCGTCGAGACTTCCTGAATTAAATACAAGAATGTACCATCTTTTCTACCGTCTTTTTCTTGCTCTTGCCTCAACTGATCTTGAGCTACATTGCTATGCTTGAAGAATGCCACAATAAGCTTCACTTTTTCTATTATAGCTACCAGCTCTTTAACACCGCCCAATCCTTTGGAGACCACCAAATTAATATTGTGGGCATAGCAGAACACATGAATGCTATTTGATCTTGAAGGAAAAAGATCCTTAACAGCTGCAACAATGTTTGCACCATTGTCAGTTGTTACTGATGTAACAATGCGGGGTTCA